CCTGCTCCTGCTCCTGTAGCAGGAGAGCCATGAAGAAATGCGTTAAATCAGGGCTCGCTCGTTAGAGAGTCGTGGGAGTTTTAAAGGTGCCAAGCCTGGCCTGAGCAGGACTGGGCCATCCGTTCCCAGGAAAGGGGCCTGCCGATCTGCACCCTTCCCTTTTCGGTGCCATGCGCACCCCAGCAATCTCGGCGGGAGACGAAAGGCGTGCCAACCAGCCGGCCAGGGAGCCCCCCCACGCCCCCACCCTTCCATGCTCCGTCCTCACAACGAATGCTTGTTAAATTAATCAGCACGTCGCACACTGGCTCAAGTAACTGCTCTGAGGCTGCCGTCCGTTCGCCTCCTGCCCGTTTTTGTGGCTAGGTCTAAAGGAGGCATCGTCCTGGGAGAGGCATTCTCTCCTGGGGGAAGAAGAATGCATCTTCTAAGATGATGCCTGCGAGGTTCTTGTTTTGAGACAAATACCTGCACCCGATCTGCATGCATGCACGCGTACACACACACACACAAACATACATACATACACACACACATACAAACATCCACCCCTCTGCATACATTTTCCGCCTGAGTATTTGTCAGACTATTCCCGCTATGACGGTTTCTGTCTGTGCTTTAATCAATTAGCAGATATGTATTAGACTCATTCCTTTGTGAGTTGCCATACCGTTCTCGCGGCAATGCAGTTGTTGTGGGGCTTTTTTGAGGTCTTCTGACCGGTGATTCTGCCTCAGGCAAGGGAGGGGCCGGTCAAGGTGGCTGCAGGCCTGTCCCTCCCTGGCCGAGGGGCGCCGAGCCCCACTGCCCAAGCATCGCGTCCCCTTCCCTGCCCCTTCCATGGAGGGGTTGGAATCGAGATCGGCGGTTGCCCAAGCGGCCGGACAGGGGCGCGTCGATCTGGGCCTCGTGGGAGGAGAGCGGCCGTGTTCGTCTGCGTAGCAAAACAGTCGGGAGGGCTGGTGGCAAAGGCTGCAGCTTACGCCTTTAACGAAACGCGTCAGTTGCAAAAGGTGCTAGCAGGCTCCTCCTGATTTTTCAACTGGAGGGTTTTCGAACCCCCCCGCCTTTGATGCCCACCAAGCTTTCCTCTCTGCCCCCCCCAAGCTCAACAATAGCCATTCTTCTTCCCCCGCCGTGCGTGTTGCAGCCGATTCCCAACATTGTCCGAAGTGGCGGCAAGACGGGGTGTCCCGCAACGGGCTTCCTCTTTCTCTGGGGGCGGAAGGAAAAGGGGGCTGGGCTGCCCCAGCCCCTCCTGCTTCCCACCCAAGGTCCCCGAGGGAGTCTCCCTGTGAGCCCAGACCTGGGGGTGTCCCTGAGTGATCCTGGGCCTCCCCAAAAACAGGTTGGAACCAAATCCCCCTCCAGCCAGGGGGAGGACTTTGCTTCCCTGAAGTCGGACTTGTCACACCGTGGCTGCCTCCCCGCGAGGACCCCCAACCCAGAGCACCCTGCTTTCTCAGCACTGGGGGGGGACCTTTCCCTGAGGGGCTGCTGGTTCAGGCAGCAGACGTATTCCGGTCCGGCTCTCCTTCCTCCCCGTCCCTCTGCCCGGTTGTGCCCCCCTTGTGGAAAACGGGGCCGGGGGCCCACGCCTGGCCCCGAGGCTTCCTTGGGCCGTGGCTGCCCTGCTGCTGCTCCGCTGCCTTCCGAATTCCCGGCTTTGCGTCCTTCCCTTTGTTTGGTGTTGGACTTTTCCTTCGGCTTCCGTTGCAGATGGACTGTCTGTCGCCCTGAGTGCTGGTGGGTGGGCGACGCGCATGCGGGTGATTTATCCCTTTATTGAAGAAAATAAATCTTGGCGGCAGCTGCTTCCGTGCTGCGAACTGTCTGCTGGGCCGAGGCGGAACCGCTCTGCCCGTTTCCGAGGGGGTTTGGGCACAGTAAAATGGGGCAAACGTTCTGCGGCCCCACGCCTGCTTGCCACCGTGGCCTGCGCCGGGGGCTCCTGGAGGCCACTGCAGACCCCGAGAGCTGGAGGCTCCGCTCAGGCCTCTTCCTCCCCCCCCAGATCCCATCTAATGCCGAGGCTGAAGGAGTCGCGTTCCCACGAGTCACTGCTCAGCCCTGGTAGCGCGGTGGAGGCCCTGGACCTCAGCATGGAGGAGGAGGTGGTCATCAAGCCCGTGCACAGCAGCATCCTCGGCCAGGATTTCTGCTTCGAGGTGAGTGGCGTGCCAAGTGGGGGGGCAGAGCGCTTGGCATCTCACCGGGGAATGGAAAGCCGAGGGCTGGACTGGACGCGGATTCCATCTGATCTTCTCATGCACTATGAAGATTAAGGATGGAACCTCCACAGTCAGAGGCAGCCTACCTCAACAGCAGGAGGGCGGAATCGGGAAAGGCGGCTGCTTTTTGACTGTGCTCCCAGATTATCTGGTGAGCCCTTTGGTTCGATCCAGCAGGGCCAAGCTTGAATGTCAGGATCCAACCTACTGGTGGGTGCCTGGTTGGAGCAGAGCCCTCCTGTGCCCCCGGGTTTGTGCCCTGAGAGTCCCTGGTTGAGGGATAGGTCTGTTTACCTGGGAGGAAGCCCAGGCCAGAGGGTGAGACCACGTGGCCCCTAATCCCCACCCGGTATGGGCATCTGCACAGCCAAGGGGCTGGAGAGGCTGTTCCCTTCCCCATTGAATGCGACTGGACGCAGGAGGCAGAACGGACAGTCCTGCTCAGAGGGCGCTCTGGATGACCCACCTTGCAGAGCGGCAGCTGGACTTCCCAAGGCCTGCAAGCGGGCAGAGGGGTCAAGAGAGCCCATCCTCCAGCCAAGAGGGGAAAGTCTGAGGCAGACTTCTTAATGCCCACAGCATGGTGAAGAAAATGCTGGTGTTTGGAAATGGAAAGGAGGGTTGTGGTAGCCCGTCCGGAGAAGAGTTTTGCGTGGGCTGACCCACCTCTTTCCTCCTCTGCCTTGAAAACTGAAAGCCACCCACGGGACCCACAAGCACGGTGCAGATAAGACGAGAGCCCCATCTCAGGACCAGCTGTGGAGGGGCGACCAAGACGGGAGGCAGTTCTTGCCGAAAGGCTCCTGTTTCTTGCCCGGAGACCCTCACGGCCATCAGCTCTCCCTTCTGTCTTCTCTTGCAGGTGACAACATCGTCCGGCAGTAAATGCTTTTCCTGCCGATCCGCGGCAGAGCGGGACAAGTGGATGGAGAATCTGCGACGAGCCGTGCACCCAAACAAGGTAGTGTTGGGGAAGGTCTTTTGCAAGGCTCCCCTTGTTTGCTCTCCCCAGTTTTCTAACTTTCTCTAAAGGAAAAGGCTAGCAAGAGGAACGGACCTCACCGTCCGGTAGAACGTCACTTCGCTGAACTCTTTGGAGAAAGGCATGTCTGTTAAATCTAAGAATCCGTTAAATCCGAGTGTTTGTTAAATCCATACGTACGCCATTTGTGTCAGTTCAGTCAAAATATAATTGCCATAAATGGCATTATTTGCAGGAGTGCCTTGACCCAAATGGGACATTTCTCCGACGTATCTGAAGTCTGCTCAACCAAGGGTTTACTGAATATCCAGAAGCTGTTAGGCGCATGGATAAAAATTCTCAAGAGTGCAACTTGTTGGCCTAACTTTAGAGTCCTTTACACAGATGTAAGCTCATCCAGACATGCTTCTAGGTAAAGGTGTTTGGGATGGCAGATTTAATATTTCCTTTTGCAACACAGTACCAGCAGTTTTAAATTCTTGGAAAATGAGTGGATATTATAGGCGTGCCGTTAATAGCTGGTATACAAATGAATCATGCTTTTGGGAAGGGTGGGATCGTGGATATTTTGAGGCGTCCTCTCCCTGGGTCCCCACCAGTCCCTCATTTGGCTTCACCTTCCTGGCCAGATATCGGTCAAGCGTGTGGCTCTGAATCCCTGGTCTCCCCAGGCAAGCTGCCTGTCGTGGCAGTGGGCAACGGACCCATTCCGAAGGCTGGTTGGAGAAGGTGGGGCCCTCCGTGGGGGCTTGGTGCCCAGGTCTGGAAGGAGGAGGGCCCTGCCCAGCCTTCGAGCTTTTCCTGCTGGCATCCCTGTGGTGGCTCCCTTGGCAGCACCTGGGAAGATGCAAGTGCCTTCCAGTTCACGGTTCTTTAGTTCTGAGCGGGAAGATGAGCAAGCGGGAGTTGTTACGCAAATGCCCGAGCACCGGTACTTCCCTTAAAGTAAAATTGCAGTTCAGGATTAACGTTTGCCCCTTCCGAGGAGGACACCCTCCGTCCTGCACTTGGCCGCTGGGCCTGCTGCCTCCTCCGCCCTGTCTCCCCTTGCCTTAACCCCTGGTCCCGCATCCCCTTCCCAGGACAACAGTCGGCGAGTGGAGAACATGCTCCAGCTGTGGATTATCGAAGCCAAAGAGCTGCCCGCAAAGAAGCGGTACCTGTGCGAACTCTGCCTGGACGAGGCCCTCTACGCCCGCACGACCTGCAAGCTGAAAACGGACAACGTCTTCTGGGGGGAGCACTTCGAGTTCAACAACCTCCCGCCCCTGCGGAGTATCGCCATTCACTTGTACAAGGAGACCGACAAGAAGAAGAAGAAGGACAAGACCAACTTCATCGGGCTGGTCAGCATCCCGGCCGGCTCCGTCACGGGGCGCCAGTTTGTGGAGAAGTGGTACCCCGTTGTGACGCCCAACCCCAGCAAGGGCAAATCCGGTGGGCCCGTGATCCGCATCAAGTCGCGCTACCAAAGCATGAGCGTCCTCCCCATGGAAACGTACAAGGAGTTTGCCGAGTACGTCACCAACAGCTACATGGTGCTCTGCTCCGTGCTGGAGCCGCTGCTGAGCGTCAAGAACAAGGAGGAGATGGCCTCGGCCCTGGTCCACATCCTGCAGAGCACGGGAAAAGCCAAGGTGAGGCTCTTGGGCGGAGGGACGGGCGGCAGCGCGGCCCACTCCCATGTGCAACGTTGCACGCCCCGAAACGAGACGCGCCCAGATAGAAGCCGGGGCCGAGCTCTCGGCTTCGGGCAAAGGGTGCTACGGGTCCACCGCTCACCTGCCGCACCCCTGAATTCCTTGCTGCTTCGGCCCTGCAGGAGGGAATTAATCTGTCGCCCTGCCAGGAAGGACAAAACGGGCTTACCCATAAAAGGCAGTCAGGAGGGTGTGAAGGGACCTGTGGCCGCACCCCGGCAGGAGGTCTTCCGAAGCTCAGCTGGCTGAGCTCTGCCAGGCTGAGGGTTTGGAGAACAGTGGCCTGGTTGGGCCGGGCCAGGCCAGGCTCCCAGTTTAAGTCCCGGGATCACAGCTGCTCCAGCAAAGGAAGGGAAGGAGAAACGATTCCCCGCTTCCTTATTGTCTCCATTCTCTGCTAACTCCCTTCCCAAGACAAACCCCCCACCGAGGAGGGCTAGCAGCCCCTCAGCCCCTGCGTGTGCTCTTGAGAGCCCCCCGCGGGGTGGACCGTGCGGCAGACCCTTCCACGCACACCCCACCCCCGCTTATGCCCTCCAGGGCAGCATAAAACAGCGCGGCAGGTTTGCCGGCCGGTTGTAAATCCCACTTGCCAGGCGGCTGCCTTCCGCTTGGCCCCCCCCGAGAGACGGGCGATTGGATAATATTTCTTATAAGAGCTGTTAGTCCAGCTAATTATGACTTTAATCAATTTTATGAGCACAGTCACGGTCCTCCTTTCGGCAGTAGTTGTGCTCTTCTAAGCGGGCGTGAGTGGCGGCTGTGGAGGCAGCGTGTCCCCCCCA